ATAATGTTCGATTCATTGGACAAATTTGACTTGGATTCCATAGCTGAATATGTGCGACGGCTCCAGAACGATGATGGCAGTTTTGGTGGTGATGTGTCGAGTAGGCATTATTCTGAACGTGTTCTATCTGTTATTCCCTTTTATGTAGCTTTTATATCTGGCTCAGATTATTGTGTCCCAGTCCAGCTTCATGGAGCGTCACTTCCGAAGGAAACCGGAAGTTTTTATAGCTGATGAATTTGTTCTAGATGAAGTGGATACGAGGTTTTCCTTCTGTGCCGTCGCCACCCTCTTCCTCATTGATAGACTACACGTAATTGATCTCGATAAGGCTGTTCGGTATGTCCTAAGCTGCTACAATTTCGACGGTGGCTTTGGCACAAGACCAGGATCAGAGAGTCATGCTGGGCAGGTGCAGTCCTTTGTATTTCGTCCTCAACTTTATAATTTCAGCATTTTATTTCTTTTAAGATCTAACAACATCTGCTTTAAATAGGTTTATTGTTGTCTTGGAACTTTGTGCATTGCTCGACGACTTGAGTCGATTGATAGAGATAGAACTGCCGAGTGGCTCGCTCAACGACAGTGCGCCAGTGGTGGATTGAATGGTAAATTTCATAATCTGATTTTCCTGCTTTGAATAGTTTGCTCCTCCAATTTTGTTCAACATCACTTAAACTTGTCGGTCCAATTGCGATGTATTCACGAAATGGGATAAAAGATAAAGCCGGCTTGCCGCCACTCATCTTGATTATGGAGCTTTCACTTTTTTCTGTTTGAGTTATCATTTTGGTTTTCAACTGCTTGGTTGCTGGAAACGCCGCTGCTTTACCGAATCGCAGAAGTTTATAGAAATTTTAATGTAGATCTATATCAACAGCATTGCAGGACGCCCTGAAAAACTACCTGATGTGTGCTACTCGTGGTGGGTTCTTGCCTCGTTGGCCATGCTCGGTCGTTTGGATTGGGTTGATAAGGTGGGTTTCGCCTTCAAAATGAATCACAATAAACATAGTATCTTACATAATAATAATAACTGTAGCCACGTTGGAGGTTTGTTCCACGATTAAGCTGGGTGAAACATCTCTTCCCGCAGCAGGACCGCTTTTCGCAAAGCTCTAACCTAACCATAAGGTGCGCGACGAACTTCGCAGCGGGGCTGCGTCTCTCGTCCGCTGTGCTCTCCCTTCTTTTCTTTCCTAGCACCCACTGCATCTCCATCGTATCGCTCTCTACTTCATAAAAAAGACGTCCAATTTTAATGCTTTTGAAGGTTTTTTTTCTACACTGGTGGTCACAACGTTATTAGTTTTTGTAGTTCAAATGTGCTTCAGCGAAAAAAAAGTTGGTCCTCTTTGGTGACAAATACTTTTGGAAAAGCGGAATTCGTGTGAAAATCGACTTCGTGGGAAATCGAGATTTAAATGATTAGCTACTTCCTGCATTGTAAGGTGGAGGGCCAATATGCTATAGTCGAAAGGGATTCTTCGTCGAAGGTCGCATGTCAGATGCGGAACTGTCAACTGGAGAGAAAAGATGAGAGATGGCAGAATAGAAAACAAATGATCAATTTCATTAAAAAGGATTAAATGGGTTAAAGGAAGCGGTTACGGATAAAGAGGGAGCGCATCCGGGAAAAATGTGCACCGCACGAATCAGTTACTTGGCTTCCAGGGAAGCGAGGTGTGGCGCTTTCACAACGAAAGGTGCGCTATGTTTTGTCTGACGCAGCGAGCTTTGCGAAAGCCGTTTCGCCAAACGAAAGCGATCCACCCAGGAGTTCACGTGTTAGACGAGCTGCATGGTTAGCAGCGGTGAAAGTGGAGCATCTCGATCAAAGCGTAGTGCATGGTGCCATTTGAAGGCGTTGCCGATGAATCGCTTTCTGATCCACTTTCTTAGCGTCTTACTAGTTTTTTTTTCACGAATGGAAACAACGGCCAAAAAAAAAGGGCGGCTCCCGTATTACGTTTTTTCTGCGGGATTTTCTGGCTTTTTTCGGCTATAATGTCCATTAGGGGCACCATCGCGTCACATTCTAAACCTCTTAGAATTTATCGTAACACTGCCTTTGAGCTGAATTTAGTGGGGGGGGGGGAGTCAAGTCAAAAATGTGAATACTTTCGAAGGAGCGTACATTCTCATTTTACGAGTAGACGAATTGTGTGGCCTTTTGTAGAAATGCCATTTTCAACGTTCCTTTATTTTACTTTACTGGGGAAGAATTTTCATTTTTCTCATATTTTCCCAACCTTCCACTGTCTTTAAGCTTTATTGAAGATCTACTCCAGGCTGCTATGGTCAAATTCATTTACGCCTGCCAAGATGATGAGACGGGTGGCTTCGCAGATCGACCAGGCGATTGTGTAGGTTTTTTGATGGTATCTTTGAAAATTGTTCCAGCAGTATGTTTTTTTTAGCCGGATCCATTCCATACGTTATTTGGCATCGCAGGCCTGTCACTACTGGGTGACGACAGGTTTGCGTCCTGTAGATGCGGTACTCTGTATGCCTAAATATATGCTGAAAGACAAAACTCTTTGCTAATTTCCATGTTGCCTTGGCTTTAGTCGATTCCGAAGTGATCTTTGTGTACTGGTTCACTTAAATTATTGTAGATCTTTCCCATCAGATGTATATTTTTATCAGATTGTAATATTCGTGTTATAGTTCCACGACTAGATTCGAATTACCCAAGTTTTTAATGAAAATTCTAATCATCTGCTGTTATGAAATAACCATACACTTATTTGTGCTACCTTCTTAAACGGTGTCCATGCTCACACCGCTTGAGAGAATAGGAGACGAGGAGAATCAGAGAATTTGCAGATTAAATATGAATCGAGAATAGAAGATCAGAAGGTCTCCTATCCCTTTATACTCCTGTCCGTTCAATTACTGAAACCAATTTTTTCAGCAGTTTCCCATATCCTAAAAATATACTCTCCTAGACATCCTCCTCAGCTCAAGCCGCAGAAAGCAGAAGAGCGGAGGCCCACCCGCAATGGGTGGAATGTACACCGAGTTGGGTCGAGTTTAATTGGTGTGAATAAGCTGGGTTCAATCGCGAGCCTGAAATAGACAGCTAGCCGTCTAGTCTTATACTGTTCTACCGCTGTCGGCGATTCTACAATGGGTATGAGTACTGGAAGACTCACATCTTTGAAGAACCTTGAAAGTTTCTGGATTCGAGAAGGAGGCTTAAAGGTACGGGCCGCGATCGAATCGGGGTGTCTTTGATATAAAATCAGACAAGAAGTGTAAAGAAAACTGGTAGTGGGGAAAAAAGAACCAAGCGCCATGGAAAACAAAGAAATTTTTCTCGTGACTTCGACCGAGTATGAAAAGAGCCACAACGTTGCGAGGAGAGGCAAAAGGCGAAAGAGTATGTCGTAACGAGAGGGCGAAGACGCTCTGCGCACGGTTGAAACTGCGAGACATGGATGGTGTTATTGTAGCGCAGTTATAAGTCGCGGCAGTCCCACCAGCCCTTTGATTAGGGGCCCTGATACCTCAGTCAAGCCGGAAATTTATTCGAGGACATAATTGCGAAGCGTGAATTTGAAGGAGAACGAACGAGAAGAGAGCATAACTAAATATGAGGTGTCGCGACAGTTGAACGCGCTAGATATCGAGTGTAAACCTTATTCACTGAAGGCATACCCCAGGATCACATTGGTGTGGTTCTTGCAGTGGAATGGAAATGGGCCGGCAGTAAAGAAAAAGGAAAAGAATCCGTCGAAAACGCTTAGGTTAAGGGCTCACTCACCTTCCTAATCGGCTGTGCTAAGGAATGAGAGACTAAGCGCGGAGAGGAGAGTATGAGGCGAGAGAGCGCTACAGATGAGAGGGCGCCAGACAACAGCCTGAAAAAAAATCTGCAGCTGCAGCAGCTTACTTTGCAAGGCCCTAGCGCTCTTTGTCGGGTGGTTTCCGTGCACGAGAATGCCACATCTGTGATTGTCCTTCTAAGGGTCTATCACACATACCGAAGGGAAGTCGTTCTCAAGACATCTGCCTGAGTTGGGCTTTTAGCCCACGTTGACAAACAGTCCATTCTTTTGCAATCGGCAAGGTTGGAAAGCTGTGAAACAGAGTTAGTCCACCTAATCTTTCATTAATCCGCTACCAGAAGAGTTGTCTCGGTGCTCCAACTTAGACCTGTGCCTCAGTTCAACACGCCCGCGGCCGGATCGCATTGTGTGTCGCGCATTGGCGTACGCTGTGTGCTTATAACGCACTTCGGTTAGTCAGCTT